CATGGAGGGCTGTGCGGCCCCCCAAAGAAATTCCACCCCACACCATTACTGACCCACCGCCAAACCGGTCATGCTGGAGGATGTTGCAGGCAGCAGAACGTTCTCCATGGCGTCTCCAGACTCTGTCACGTCTGTCACATGTGCTCAGTGTGAACCTGCTTTCATCTGTGAAGAGCACAGGGCACCAGTGGCGAGTTTGCCAATCTTGGTTTTCTCTGGAAAATGCCAAACTGTAAGCACAACCCCCACCTGTGGACGTCGGGCCCTCATACCACCCTCATGGAGTCTGTTTCTGACCGTTTGAGCAGACACATGCACATTTGTGGCCTGGTGGAGGTAATTTTGCAGGGCTCTGGCAGCGTTCCTCCTTGCACAAAGGTGTAGGTAGCGGTCCTGCTGCTGGGTTGTTGCCCTCCTACGGCCTCCTGCACATCTCTTGATGTACTGGCCTGTCTCCTGGTAGCACCTCCATGCTTTGGACACTACGCTGACAGACACAGCAAACCTTCTTGCCACAGCTCACATTGATGTGCCATCCTGAACGAGCTGAGCCACTTGTGTGGGTTGTAGACTCCGTCTCATGCTACCACTAGATTGAAAGCACCGCCAGCATTCAAAAGTGACCAAAACATCGGCCAGGAAGCATAGGAACTGAGAAGTGGTCTGTGGTCACCACCTGCAGAACCACTCCTTTATTGGGGGTGTCTTGCTAATTGCCTACAATCTCCATCTGCACAACAGCATGTGAAATTGATTGTCAATCAGTGTTGCTTCCTAAGTAGACAGTTTGACTTCACAGGAGTGTGATTGATATATATATAAAATGTCTTTACTTTGCTCATTTTTATTAATGGACCAAATAATTGATAGTAATAGAGTAACAAGCATTGATGTAAAGTTTAGTACAGTGTCTGAAAACTCTATTTTAAAAAGTAAAAGGGTCTTAGTTTTTCATGGTATCCAGAATTTTAAAAATACAATTAAAAAAAACTTTGACCCAGAGAGGATCTTTGGCAGGTTTCACAGGTGTTACATTTTATAACGCATTTAAAAACATGAAACATGACTACTAGGATGTAATGGAAGGTTTTCTCACTGGCATAAAACATGAGGCCATGAAAGTGATGTATAAAAATCACTTACTTTTTCTATATCAAACTCTTAAAAATACACATAATCCCAGAAGTTTAGTTGTATTGCCAGTGCATGGTGTTTGCTGTACATCTATCTCAGTGGGTCTTCAGTAAAGGTTGTACATGTTGTGACAATCACATCTGATATTTTTGTAATCTGATAATAACTTCAGCTTGAACTCTTCGCTGTCATACTTGAAAGAAAGGGCAGGATGCTTGTCAGGTCTTAAATGTCCTTGCACTTAACAATCCAATGTGGATTAGAGCTTTAATGTGTTCCCGCTTTTCAGTATTGTACAATATGTCTTAAATTATGTTTAGTAACCGTTGAGGTTCTGCTACCTCTGCACCAGTTCCACACATGTTTCCACATGGTGTGATGGACAAGCAAAGCTCTCTCCCTTTATTTGTCAAACAGTGATTGTTTGTGGATTATAACACATCAAATATGTTACAATTTCTGGTATCTATACCACATTCTACTGTTTGTATTACATGTGAAATCAGACACATAGCTCTATGGGAAAAAAAAAATCATAGAGGCTCGTGTTCAAAAATAAAGGTACTAGAAATCTCAATTACAACAAACACTCACTGTCACTGATTTACCTGTTGTTTCTCTGTTTCTCTGATTTTACTGCTATGGGTGATCAGAAGGATAGGAAAGAAAGAAAAAAAAGTAGAGAACACCAGAAGTTTTGAAGGTCAGACACTCTTAGCCATGGTTCTGCAAAAGCCCTGTAAATATTCATTGCGTGAGTGAGAGAATCAATAAGCCTCTAAGGACATTTTGCCTCTTAATTAACCAATGAGCTATTTAACCACTTTAGCTAAACTATTTTAAAAGCAGATCTCATATTCAAGCTTTCATACAAAATGGCAACAGAGCAGAACACGTTCCTTGCGAATGCAACATTAAATATTCATCTGCTATTTTGAATATTAAAGCCTGCATGCAGTATTTAAAATGAATGCCACATAACTACTTTTAAATGTGCTGCAGGGTACAACCACAACATATACATTCTTTTTATTCGAATTACAAATGAATTCTTAAATAAAACATGTCTTCTAAACATGCGTGAAAAGTGTGGCACAACAAGTCTTTATTATTAATGACAACATTTCTGCATCAGACTAACGCGTCCTGATATGAACCAAAAGCATAAAAGTATTGTATAATTAATCAACTTTGTTCTACATTGAGCATATGAAGGATACATTAATGTGGCTCATTTTATTCATTCTGTGTAATGGAGACACAAGTGTTGACAGCAGCTTACAACAGGGAATGAGCCTAAAGGGAAATATGGTAACAATTTGTCTAGGGTGTTTTAAAAGTTCTCCCATCATAACCCGAGTAAAATTTTAAGACACCGATGCAGATTGCAATGGAAACGTCAGCAACAAATAACTGGGAGAATAGCACGCAAAAAGTGATGCTACATTAATCAGTCACTCCTTTTTGCTGCTGTAAAGAGAATTAATTTTGTATTCATTTATTCTTTTTCCTTCGACTTTTTCTGGTGGTGGTTGCTGTGGCAACAAGCTGAGAACATCAGCCTAGATTTCTCTGTCCATGGCCACCGATTACAACTCCTCGTGGGGAATCACCCAGACATCTCACTGTGAGATATAATCTCTCTTGCAGCAGGTTGTGGGTCTGCCCCGGGCTCTTCATGCAATGGGACATGCCTGACACAGTTTCTAGCAGGGGCTGACTAGAGGGCGTTCTCATAAGGTGTCCAAATCACCTCAACTGTTTCCTCTTGATTCAGAGATTAATCCCAGCAGCCCTGCAGATGAACCTCACATTTGCCAAATGTAGTAGCAGCCTTATTCATTGGGTCACTACCTATAGCTCATAGATGAGGATAGGGATGTAGGTTGATTTCTAAACCGAGAACTAAACTGAGCTCATGCTTCACCACCACAAACCAGACTATTGATCATGACTCCATGTTGCCTTTTTCCATCACTCATAAATAACATCTCAAGGTACTTGAGGGGAGAAACCCCTTTGTGGATCAAGACCTTGTCGTGGTGAAGGAGAGTATGTACTGCAGTGAACCTTTGGGTTATGTCACTGAGGAGAAAGTCAGAAAATAAGTGATCCTAATGACCTCTATGAAAGATACAAAAAAGACTGAGTACCATGTCTAGGTTAAGCTTACTTGTGCACACCCCTGGAACCCAGCCTGGAGCTGGTGGTCACATGGTGAGCATCCAGGATACCCACATAAACCAACGTTTGGCTCAGCATGAAATGGTGACTTCAAGCCATCTTTTATGTTCACCACCTGAAACATGAAGTGTGAAAATCATGTGCAATGCTAGTAAAGTGTTATGTATGTGATGGACAGTCTTATATAAGTATAGAAGTATCTTTTTTCTTTTTTTTTTTAAATCCCTTCTTAACTGAAGTTTAATTTAGCAGACACACAAGTAGTCTCTGTGGATGTTCGTCATTGTTAATGCCTTCATTTTTTTTTTTCGTGCCTTGTTTGTGTGATTTAATACCTTTTTAATTTAATGGATATCAATTCATATATCACAGCTTTGTTTGTGTTGCAGCTCTGAAGCTTTACTATTATTATATAAAATCAGTCTTGGAAAGATTAAAGAGATAATCTCCCACTGGAGGGAGGCAACAATTTTGTTGCTTGAAGACTGCACTATAATGAGAAAAACAATGTCTTATCACAGACATTGTAAAGTCCATATATCATTTACACACTTGTGTTCTTTTTTTTCTCTCCAGTCTTTTCTTTTTCTCAGATACTGTGAGTGTTGAGAAACATTATATGCCATGTCATCCACTGACTTTCAGTCTGATTTGACACAATCCATCACAATCATAAAAGCCTTATAAGACAGGCATGGAAAAAGATGAACTCATTTCCCTATCTGTTCATCAGAGGCTCTGATTATTAACCATTAATACCTGATGAACACACTCAAAGACTTTGCAGAGACAAAGTCTCATTCAGGCTTCTCTTTCATCATGAGAGAACGCTGACTTGCCTGACTTTGTTGGATAACTCGACATGCCATCCATCTCTAAACGTTTATATTCAATATTCATTTCACTCAATACTTTTAATTGTCATTTGTCATTCACTGAAAGCAGATGTCCTAGAATCTAATGTATCAACTGGGCCAATTTAGAGTGCCATTTGTCTTTTCTATCCTTCTCCATTTTTAGTGGGGAAATCAAACCCTGCTTATGGACTATCAGTCTAAGGTGTGAATGGTGGATAAACCATATCTCCCTCTGCCATGCACTGATGACATTATATTCAGTGTCTGTTGCCTATGCATAAGCAAAAAGGGTTTAATAATCCATTTGGCACTAGGCATGTTAAGTCCATTTATTTGAGAGAAAGAATCCGGAGTGAATCATATTAATGATGTGCACATTGGATAATAATCTTAATGTCAGGTTATAAATCTGCTTCTGGGAGTTGTGGAGGAGTGTCAAAGGCATAGGCAATGGCCAGTAATTAAATTTACAAAGCATCATATGGATGGATTCAGAGTCAAGAAATTTGAGAGTGAATTTCTAGGGTTTCCATTACAGAAATGCACTACATTGTTCTATGAATGTGAAAAAAAACAACAACAACATTTGCACTAAGCAAATCTATTTTCAGTTCTATGGCAGTTTATTGTGTATAACAATCTAAAAAAAAAATCAGATATAAATCATGACAGACCTTTTAAGTTGTTTCATGCTAAAAGTAAACAGTAGCAAGCATGAAAGGAAAAATTGTCCGTGAAGCTGCTTTATGATCATGTCTATTTTTAAAAGCACTATATTGATAAAAAATTGAATGGAATTTTATTTAATGGTATAACTATAAAGGGGGCACGGTGGTTTAGTGGTGAGCATGTTTGCTTCGCACATATGGGGTAATGGGTTCAATAACCACCTCTGCCCTGTGCCTTGTGCTTCTCCCCGTGCTTCAGCTATGTCCTCCGGGTACTCCGGTTTCATCCCCTTGTCCAAAGACATGCGCTGTATGCTGATTAGCATATCTAACGTGTCCATAGTGCGTGTATATGTGATTGTGCCCTGTGATGGATTGGCACATTGTCCAGGGTGTCTCCTGCCCTGTACCCTAAGTCCCCTGGGATAGGCTCCAGGCCCACAGTGATCCTGCACTGGATAAGCGGTACAGAAAATGGATGGAAGGCATACCTATAAGTCCAGTATTTGTGATTTGTGCTTTTTTGTGAGTAATCTGAGTAGAATTATACTCAGCTGTGCTTTATCAAATTATTAAAACATAATAGTGTGGTGTGGTGCAATAGATGGGTTAGGCTTAATGTCACTGCAGTCGATTAATGAGAAGTGATGCAGGTCATAAGATATCTCTACAGAACTTCTCTCTTAAGTAATATCTCATGCAAAAAGGAATTTGCTAATAACAAGTTGATGCAATTTTAAAATGTAAGCCTTGGATTGTAATGTTATAAATATTATGATATGATTAATATTTTTGCCTGCAGATGATAAGCAGAACTATAAATATATTAATGGTATCCCAGTGAAAGCTAAACCCCAATGAGCAACTAATGGAAAAGCGAGCTTTATAAAGCGATTGATTTGAAAGCATGAACAGCAGTTGATGGTCCAATGCCAGAGGCCTCCACAGAACATTTCTAATCCTGTTGTTTTGCCCTTGGAGACCAAGGCTTTTGGTCCTGCATTTGATGATGAACAGGGTTCTCCGAACTTCTTTCTTATGGAGTGTCGGCTGTAGTTACTTCAAGCTCATCAACCACGTATCCTCTGCAGCTGTCAACAATCGAACATGGGAACTGTTTTGTGAGCTGGGGCTGTTCTGGGCAGTGAGGCGAAACAAATGAATAAAAATTCTTATTCTAGGGACAGATTTTTTTCTGGGATCCCTTTGCTCTGACACCTAATTGCAGTGTGATCCATCAAAGGTTCCCTTATGTCTCTTGACACGCAATTTAAACACCTATCACAGAGAAGACATGTTGACTAAGGCAGGTATACTTTTGCCTGAACAGAGCAGAATAAATGAGAAAAGGAGAGGAAGAACCAAATGGAAACATGTAATGGAAGTGTGTGTTGGGAAGGCATGCTCTCTGATACGAGACCCATGATTCGTCTGGTGATTGCAGTTCAGCGACTAATGCTGGTGCACCAGCACAGCCCTGCTGAGAATGAGGTGAAGGATAAAACAGGCAAAGAAAGCAGCATGAAACTTTCCTGGCTACATTTAAATTTAGCAGCACTACCATACTGTGATTCTTAGAAGCACAGCCTACACAGAACTTTCTTTAAACGCAGACAGCATATGTGTAGCATATTGCTAATCCTTTACAACTAACATCAAATCCAATTTTTAAAAGAGGGACATGTTTGTCTTCTGTGATTAGCATTTGTTAACATATCTGTGCAGGCAAAATTGCCCAATCATTTACAGAGATATACTACTGCTAGTTTGGGCGGGATTACAGCATTGTGCACTTGGCTTGATGTTGAGGGCTGAATCTGTGCCACCTACTACCGCTTGCTTAAACACAAAGCCAATCTTTAGTGCAAACACATGTCTCTGAGGCTTACCAGGTTGACAGAGGGGTCGTGTGCGTCTCGCCAACCTGTCAGCTGATAAGACACAATGAGAGTCAGCCCAAAGGTGACAGAAGGCAGACGCAGCTTGCCCGTGGCACCTGTGGTGAAAGAACAATGCATGAGCATCTTCAACAGGGTAGAAAGGAAGGCTACAGAATGTAGGATTCAGACAATTTGAGAGGATATCTTTGGGAGCCACATGCTGCTGAAGACAAAAAGGATCTCAAGTGTGTGGGAAGAGTGTGATGCAGAGCATCAAGATTCCGGTTGCAGCGTGCTGAGGGTGACGTGGAATTTCCGAGACTGACTGGGACAGGATTGGATTTATGCAAGTTTACAGAAGTGTAGCCTGTAACCAGTGATGCCTGGTTTTAATATTAGATGGGAGGCTAAAATTTTATATCTATCAATAGTGTGACAATGAAACAGTTGAGCAATGCATCATATCACAATGTCTCATTGATGGCATAATAGGGCACTGGATACTTATATATCAGCTAGTCAACAAATGCTAATCTTCGTACCGTCCTCTTTCACAACTCCATACATTTTCAGTACCCTTGAAATAGTAAAATGAAGTTGCTGTTTGACAGTTACAGTACTCTCCATGACTATTAAAAGGCAAGGCCAGTTCAAAATGTTTTGTTGTTGTTGCTGTAGATAGAAGATAATTGGGTTCGAGATCAAAGGACAAAAATGGGAGGAGGGTTGAGAACTTCAGCTTTTATTTTCTGGTATTTATATATAAATGTGTTAAACAACATATCACATTTTGTATCAGACCACCCAATTTGTAGGCTAACAAAAAAAATTGGATCATGTGACTTACAGGCGTTTCTGGTTACCCTGGTGTGTCCTGTTAGACTGATTATTTAATCAATAAATAGCTCTACTAAACAATAAATAACATCTACTCTTGGTTCTAGCCTATACCTGTGATAATGGCATTTTTTGTTAGAAAAAAAAAGAAAAAAGGATAAGCCAACGTTAAGATCAGAGAGCTGTCTATGGGAGAAAATCAAGAATTTTGAAGCTGAGAGAAGAGGGAAAATCAATCAGAAGCATTTCACAAACATTGGGCATAGCCAATACAACAATTTGGAATGTCATTTTAATGAGGGAAATAAGCATTTGACCCCCTCTCAATCAGAAAGATTTCTGGCTCCCAGGTGTATTTTATACAGGTAACGAGCTGAGATTAGGAGCAGACTCTTAAAGGGTGAACTCTAATCATGTTACTGTATAAAAACACCTGAAACACTCCACAGAAGCAATCAATCAATCAGATTCCAAACTCTCCACCATGGACAAGACCGAAGAGCTCTCCAAGGATGTCAGGGACAAGATTGTAGACCTACACAAGTCTGGAATGGGCTACAAGCACATTGCCAAGCAGCTTAGTGAGAAGGTGACAACAGTTGGTGCGATTATTCAGAAATGGAAGAAACACAAAAGAACTGTCCATCTCCCTCGGCCTGGGGCTCCATGAAAGATCTCACCTCGTGGAGTTGCAATGATCATGAGAAGAGTGATGAATCAGCCCAGAACTACACGGGAGGATCTTGTCAATGATCTCAAGGCAGCTGGGACCATAGTCACCAAGAAAACAATTGGTAACACACCGACATCCGCGAAGGACTGAAATCCTGCAGCGTCCGCAAGGTCCCCCTGCTCAAGAAAGCACATATACATGACCGTCTGAAGTTTGCCAATGAACATCTGAATGATTCAGAGGACAACTGGGTGAACTTTGGCATCAACTCAACTCTCCGTGTTTGGAGGAGGAGGAATGATGCCTATGACCCCAAGAACACCATCACCACTGTCAAACATGGAGGTGGAAACATTATGCTTTTGGGGTGTTTTTCTGCTAAGGGGACAGGACAACTTCACCGCATCAAAGGGACGATGGACGGGGACATGTACCATCAAATCTTGGGTGAGAACCTCCTTCCCTCAGCCAGGGCATTGAAAATGGGTCGTGGATGGGTATTCCAGCATGACAATGACCCAAAACACGGCCAAGGCAACAAAGGAGTGGATCAAGAAGAAGCACATTAAGGTCCTGGAGTGGTCTAGCCAGTCTCCAGACCTTAATCCCATAGAAAATCTGTGGAGGGAGCTGAAGGTTCAAGTTGCCAAACGTCAGCCTCGAAACCTTAATGACTTGGAGAAGATCTGCAAAGAGGAGTGGGACAAAATCCCTCCTGAGATGTGTGCAAACCTGGTGGCCAACTACAAGAAACGTCTGACCTCTGTGATCGCCAACAAGGGTTTTGTCACCAAGTACTAAGTCATGTTTTGTAGAGGGGTCAAATACTTATTTCCCTCATTAAAATGCAAATCAATTTATAACATTTGTGAAATGCGTTTTTCTGGATTTTTTTGTTGTTATTCTGTCTCTCAGTGTTCAAATAAATCTACCATTAAAATTATAGACTGATCATTTCTTTGTCAGTGGGCAAACGTACAAAATCAGCAGGGGATCAAATACTTTTTTCCCACACTGTGTACTCTGGTGTGTGTATTGTGTTCTTTTCAGTCTTATATTATCCGACAAACAGTTGTGTAGTTTTATTCTGAAGTTTATATTTGTAACACTTAGTTTGTGGATTTTATTTTAAATAAACGAACAAAAAAAAGGTACAGAATCCCCCCAAATTCATAGAAAAATAACTGGCCGACTAATTGATTATGAAAATATTCGCTAGTTGCAGCCCTACTTCATTCATCCATTCAGCTCCAGTAATCGCATAATTCTATTCATGTTCAAAGTGGACTCGGAGCCTATCCTGTGACCAGTGGGTATGAGACTGGAGTACATCAGTTTATTATTATCTTTTTTTATTATTATCTACAAATATTCTTGTGATTTTCTGGCAAAAAAAAATCTACAGGGACCATTTGCATTGGTCTCCCTGTATGTCCTCCCACATTTCCTTTCAAAAGTGTTTCCACTCATGCTTTTTCTCTCGCCTTTTTGGTCCCTGATGAAAGCAAAGTTATGAAAAAAAAAATAAGTGATGGCACTTACAATTATAGCTCACGATTCCCTTGGGAGTGAAACCAGCTCTGTGCACTGTTGAGAACAGTTGATTATACCTCTGAAAGCACTAATTACCTAAGTGCCCATGTCTGTGTGCGTTTGTTTGAGGGAGAGGGAGAATACGTATGTGTGTTTGTGAGTATGTGTGCATTGGTGAATGTGTCCCAGCAAGAATTTCAGTTTTTAGGGCTCTCATAGTTTCCTCAAATTGCACAGAAGCATCCTGTAACTGCGCTTTATTGTAGTCAATAGAATAGTCAATGGATTCAGAGCCTATTCTGGGAAC